CAAATGACCACAGCCATGTAGGCATCAAGCCGCTTCTTAAAGACCCCCCAGGGTAGGAGCCAGCACCACTTCCATTAGAAGTTGGTTCCAGATCCTAGCCGCCCTAACTGTGAAGTAGTTCTTATGGATGTTTAATCTAAACCTATTCTCCAACAACTTGTAGCTGTTATTCCTTGTTATCCCGGGGGGCGCTAGGGGAGATCTAGTATGGCAACATCTCTCTTCCCGTGTCAATTAGATAGAAACCCAGAAGTATACTTATAATTATCACAGCTTGAAATAATGCATTTTGAGGGTAGATTGCATTGCTTCTGCATCTAACAAGGATTTGGCGAAGGTTAGAGAAGAGTTATGCCACCTAGCATCTTTCCTAGAAAACTGGTTGAAACAAATATCACAACTACATTATACTCCATTATTCCTGGTAGAAAGAGCTAAAAAAATCACTCCCATAAAACAAACACGTCAAACCTTTTATTGTCCATTTAATCAGGGGTCAGGGAGATCATAAATACAAAAATCCCATAGGGAGCAGAAAATGACTAAGAACAATGGCAGACAAGGTTCTTTGGGAAATCCAATATCTTTTAGTTGGACCAATTTTAGTGGGTCCAATAAAAGATATCAGATTTACCCAAAGAACCTTGTCTGCCTATGTCCTTAGACCAATACGGCTACAACACCTCCCCCCCCAGCAAGAGCAATGGTAAACTAAAATTTTTCTTCCAAAATTCAGACCCATTGCACACAGGCAAAGGGATCACTGGTCCCAACCTAACAAGACCACTCAAACTCAGCAGAGTAAGTTCCTGCATAGTGTTTACCTATGTAATGTCATCTTTTCCTTTGTAAAACTCCAGTATTACAAGTACTTGTCACCTGCTTTATTTTATTTGAGTGAATAAATACATTCTTGAAATCAATGAGATTACTCATAACTATGCACAGGATTAGTGTTTTAAAGTAGAATGTACTATTCCTTAAACAGTTAAGAGAAGACACACTAACAAAAGTGTATTGTATGTACATGGATTTCTCACATGGAGTACTAACTTATGACTGTTTTACCACAGTTGATCGTGTGCCATTCTTCCTGTGTGCAGAAATATTGCAGTAGTAAAAAAAGAAATCTTAAAATTTTGCATTAAATTTGAACATTCATTAACATGCCCAACATCTTACTTGACAGCCTTGTCTGCAGTTTCAGCAGTGGAACCCAGGAATGAATGAACACAGCAACTGCTGGCTTCCTATTCATGGCAGGGGCACACTAGGAATAGGGCGTGTGACAAGCTTCAGGGCACTCCCAAGAGGTGTAGCGTGAGAGTCCCCAAGCTGTCAATCCAGCACCTTTCCCAAGCTCTAATTAATTTTATACATAATTTTATGTAAAAGATATATATTCACAGAAAAGAACTGGAGATTAAATAGAGATGCTTTGTAAATTCCAAGCAAGCCTGGGAGTTTTATGGTAGAGGAAGAAGGAAACAAATGTTTCATCATATTTTAATTTTAATATTTTAATTTAAGATTTTTTCCAAAAGCAAGGCTGTGTATAAATGTTTTATATATTAACATATCAGGGCTCATAGACAGAGGTAACATCTTTTATTAAACCAGCCTTTATGTATATATTAACCTTTGTGCGTGTGTGTGTGTGTGTGTGTGTGTGTGTGTGTGTGTGTGTGTATATAAAAACATCCATATCTACAAAACCAATGCAATTTCTGTCTACTTCAGACACCTCCATAGATGCTATTACCATAATATCTAAATGCCACACATTTTTTATTGTACTTATCCTTAGCCCACCTCTGTATCCTAAGAAAGAACTATCATCCTGTTTCACAGAGGAGGGACTGAGGTACAGAGAAATTAATTCTTCCATGGGAGATCTCTAGTAAAGAAATTCAACTGCATTTCATGAGTTTGGAAGTCCTGGCATCCTAACTATTGGACCATCCAACCACTTCCAATCAAGAACCTAAAGTCTCAGAAAATGTTACAGTTATATGTCCTCATGCTAACTGTACCTTTTACATTGTCATTCTCTCTGTCTACCTAGGGCCAGGTTCTGCTCTCTTGCAAATTGCATAGATCTAGTCTAATTCCATTTATTTAAATTAAATTACTCAATAGTACTTTCTCTGTATTTACAATACTGTAGCACTAACATTTACACTGGGATATATTTGTACCCTATTCCAGAATTTGACCCTTTAATGTAGTGTCACTGTAATGGTTATTATAGTAACACAGCTGCACAGCAGAAATGACCAATCAAATCACAATCAAAGGCCCAGCTAAGTCAATCAACATACAGAGCTAACATAGGTAAGACACACCAGTTTGTATAGCCAACAGATGTAGCTAGTATGGCCTTTAGTGTCTCAGCCTGAATGACCAAGTATTTATGTACAGTTGGGGACAACCGTTGCCACAAAGGCAAAGCAAGAGTCAAATTCCTGTCTCTGAAACAAATAGGAAGGTACCTTAATCATGGCACCATCTCAGCAAAGAATAAACAGAGTCTCCTTTAAACACATAATAAAACAAAATAAATTAAAAGGGAATCAATGTGTAGTTACTGGGTAAACATACTATTATTCTGTGAAAGATACTTAAAATAGACTCTTCTCAATACTCCAGCAAAAATCAATGATAGACCTTCCACTGACTCCATCTTTAATGCCTATCCATTATTGTAAGTGAAGGCAAATAAATTACTTACTTTAATGTATTACAAATGTGTTGTATGTACCATAAGGTAATTTTGTGAAGCTATTGTGTCATCAGACATGAAGGGTACAAGTGTAGAATGGAGAAATCTAAATGCATTTCCTGTTAATTGGTCACATAAGATACACATCGTGAACAGAGAATTGAAGGACCCAATGTAAACCTTGCTACTCTGTGTACTACCATGGTTTGAACATGAAAATGTTTATATCAGTGGTTCTCAAACTTTTTTGGACTTGAGGCACCCCACATAACTTTTGTGAATTGAGTGCAGCCAGGTTCAAAAACTAGTTTATATATTACAGTGTTTACCGCCTTGCAGAGAGGCTAGGTAGAGTGGTGGGGGAGCAGCCAGGCAGAGACAAGACTGAGCCTGTGTTAATCTTCTTATCTTATCTGCTTGTCTCCTCACACCTCACTTATCTCCTCACACCTTGTAGCAAAATAACAGGCAGCACCCCAGCATGCTGTGGCACCCTGGTTGAGAATCACTGGTTTATATAATGTGAGGAAACAAAGGTGCAAGACCATCTCTTTGTTCTGTATCTTTCCCCCCAACTATAAGCCTTTTACAATCCAGTGTAAACTTCAGAGCACAGTATTCTCTACACCTCAGCAGCTACTGATATTGCTGCTGTCCAGCTGTTGGACTAGGTGACCTCTTGAGGTCCTTTCCAGCACTGATTTTTAGTGAGTCTACTACAAATTCAGAGATTTTATACATAAACAAGTGTTGTACAGCAAACAGAACAGGCACTTGTAAATGCAGAACACTACTTTTGTCTCACAGAGCTACAGCTACTCTTTTCAGTCTAACTGATTGACATAAATGACGTTAAACAAAAGAAGTTGGCAGTATAAGACTTTACCCATCAATAAACTATGGTTCAAAATTTGCTTAGCAAAGCAAAGTCTAGAGCTGTAGCCTCTCATGAAGCAGAAACATAAAATATAATCTTAATGTAAAATAGCTGAACTGTACCCTCCTGCCAAAAAGGCAAAATCTTTTGTGAAATCAAAACCAAGTAGTACTAGAAGCTACAGAAAAGTTTTTATAGCTTTCAATTCTAACATTAGAAAACTGGGAACCTTGGATATAAAATTCCTCCAAGACAGGGACCTTGAACTTGACATGAAAGGAAAGCTGATTCTCTATATTATTTTAGTTACTGGCCAACCAAAAAAACTACAGTAAAATGCAACAGACACTATAAATAATAGTTTGGTACTATGTCAGCACTTCCCCCATCAAAAACAGAACTGAGGCCACCACTCATTTTAGTTTCTGTGGAAGACCTCAGATAGCATACTGAACCTTGCTGAACCTCAGGAATGAGTTTCTCATTCCATTTATGCTAGGTTCAAGGGCCAGAGCAAACAAAGAAAAGGAGCTCAAAAAGTCCTGAATCTGGCTGGGGGGCAATTCTTCAGTACAAAAACTGAGATGGCTGGACAGCTATCTTTGCAGGACCCTCTTTGTATAGAGCTGTGGAGATTCCAGAGAGTGCTGCAACTCATAGGCAGCTGAAAGGCTGTCCTATCTTAGACAGAGCCCCAAAACTGTCTAAATTACACTTAAACAACTCCTTTGTAAATGACATCTCTGCACCACCATTTAAGTCAGAGAATTGAGATCATGTCATTAAGAAGAAAATTGACAACAACCCTTTAACTGGATACAGCTGGAAATGAACACAGCTTCTTTGATATTTTACATTAAAATTCAGCTTAGCTAAAGAAATGTAAACAGCAGTAGATAATTATTTTCCTGACAGCTCAACCAGTGAAAGCTTAGAAGGATGGGTGAACATACCCTGGCAGCCACAGTTAGTGATTCAAAAGAGGTGGTAAATATAAAAGCTGAGCTGAACCTATGTGCTCTTTGGAATGAAAGAAAGAAAAGACTTTGAAGGCATCTACCTGGCTGAGACAGCCCACCAGCCAGGATGATATAGCCAAAGGGTTTTTTCGTCTCTCCCAGTGAAAGAAATTATAAATACCCAAAATAAAATATTCATTTAAGGTAGGTCCAGGAGAGGATATGTCTTCATCATGTGTATTAGGTACTTGATGTCAAATGTGCCATATTTCAAGTAACTACTTTGAAGTAGACAACCTGCAGTAAAACATAGCCTAAATATACCCATGTGTTTAAATGCTTAAAGACTAAACTGATTTTACCTCAGTACAAAACAAGCAGTGTGGCCTTTAGTAAGGAGAATGACTAACTAACAGCTAACAGTGTTTCCTCTGTCTTTCAGAATCATGATCATACATGTATTGCATGTAGAATCATCTACCGGTCAGATGAGCACCATCCTCCTATCTTACCCCCAAAAGCTGATTTGACAATCGGACTGCATGGAGAATGGGTGAGCCAGCGCTGTGAGGTGCGCCCTGAGGTCCTCTTTCTCACCAGACACTTCATCTTCCATGACAACAACAACACCTGGGAAGGTCACTACTATCACTACTCTGACCCTATCTGCAAACACCCCACCTTCACTATCTATGCCAAGGGCCGCTACAGCAGAGGAGTGCACTCGTCCAAAGTCATGGGTGGAACAGAGTTTGTGTTCAAAGGTATGTGCCCCTAACAGGCCATTTTACTCAGTAACTCATCAGAAGGCCATTTGTCCATAAGGCTGTGAAAGCTGTTACTGCAATGGTGTGACAGTCATACAGCGTCGTGGACTTCCCCAACAAATAGACATGCAAACTACAGAAGGATCATATCTCCCACCATTCAGTTACCTCTGAGACAGAAGACAGAAACTTTAAATAATGTATGCAACAGTTTAGGTCACTAAGTGACCTAATAGTATCTATCTGTTAGCTTTATGTACAGCCCTTCTCTCAAAAAAAGTTCAGGCCAGGTTACAAAATATCTCAAAACCAGTATAAAGTATTAAAATAAAAGTGTTACAAAACAAACACTCCCCCAAATTACCCCCAAATTCAAAGCAATCCACCCTCTCCTCACCCCCTCAAACTCCCCTGCCTCACTTAGGAGAGGATCCTCCTGCCAACCCAGCCTTGCTTCCCATCCACCATTCACTTACTCCATAAAATATTTTTTCCCACACCCCCTCCCATCTGCACCCACTCACACTCTCCTGCCTCGCACCCAAGGGAGTCCGCTCTCCATTCCCTTACTGTCTCTCCCCAGTCCGCATGTACCTCTCTCACAGGGAGGCTATTAATATTCTCCAGATCCATACATCCTCCCTTTTCCCTCAAAGAAATGCATTATAAAATTTATTTCATAGACATTAGGGCTGGAAGGGACCTCGGATCATCAAGTCCAGCCCCCTACCCCAGGGGCAGGAAGTCAGCTGGGGTCAAAGGATCCCAGCAAGATAAAGGTCCATATGTTTCTTAAAGGAGTCTAGAGTAGGTGCCTGCACCACCTTTGGAGGCAGTCTGTTCCAGGCCTTGAGGGCTCAAATAGTAAAGTAGTTCTTCCTTATATCCAGCCTGAAACGGTCTTGGAGGAGTTTGTGACCGATTGACCTTGTCATCCCTTGGGGTGTTCTGGTGAACAGGTGTTCCCCCAGATCCTGATGTACACCCCTTATATATTTATAGGCAGCCACCAGGTCGCACCTGAGCCTGCACTTTTCCAGGCTGAAGAGTCCCATGGCTCTCAGCCTCTTATAATAGGGCCTGTTCTCTTGCCCTCTGATCATATGCATGGCTGTTCTCTGGACTCTGTCAAGCTTCTCCACATCCTTTCTGAATTGTGGAGCCCAGAATTGGATGCAGTACTCCAGCTGAGTATAGCGGGAGGATGACATCCTTGCATTTACTTGAGAAGCATCTATGGATGCAAGCCAGAGTTTTGCTCGCTTTACCAGACACAACATTGCATTGGTGGCTCGCTCATATTCATCTTGTGGTCAATCATGACCACCAAGTCCCTTTCAGCCATGGTGCTAGCAAGTGTAGCACTGCTGAGCCTGTAAGCATGCTGCAGGCTTTTCCTCCCAAGGTCGAGTACCTTGCATTTTTCAGTGTTGAACGGCATCAGGTTTTCATCCGCCCATTTTCTAAGCCTGTCTAGGTCGGCTTGGATCACCAGCCTATCCCTCAGGTGTGGATGCTTTACCCCAAAGTTTGGTGTCATTCAAAGAATTATAACAAGGAAAGCAATACATTTCCCTGTAACTGTCTTTCCTTGCTAAAGGGTAGTGCCAAAGGGTGCCCTTGAATATCACCTACCCTTTGCACCTACCCCCAAGATAGCCTGCAGTCCTAATAAAACCCCCTACTCTTTCTAAGAATATTACAAAGTTTTTATCAACAAGACATAAGCAGCTTTAACAGCTTATCTGGAAGATGACCTCCTCCACATGGTGTTCTCCAGCATCATGCCAAGGCTTTGTTTAAAACTCTGACAACATTACCTAAGGCAGGTTTGGCCAACCTGCAACACAGGTGGTATGGGCAGCCTCTGTGCATCATACTGCAGACTGGGGAGGAAGCAGAAAACACAGGAGCAGAAAGCAGAGCAATAGAATGGGCAGGGAGGATAAGGCAGGGAACAGAGCAACAGATCAGGCAAGTGAAGGGGATTGGGGTGGCACCCAAGGAGTAGAGGGGTACTTATCTCGTGGCATGCCTGCCAAAAGGGGGGACCCTCGCTAACCAAAGGAATCACTGAGCACTCATTAGGACCTTGCCTGTTTAGGCTGAGATCTGGAAGGATTCAAAGCCCCAGGCACTATACCCTGAAAGTACATTTGAGAAGTGTAAGACTCCCCTCTGTGACTCTTTTAGGAAAGAACCTGACTGCAGTGGATAATACATTAGACTGGAATTTTCAAATGAGCCAACGGGGTCCTTGCCTGTTAGCCTTTCTGCCTCTTTGCCACATGGTGCCACAGTCACTTACTTCTGAATATCCGGAATGAAATCTTGGCCTCATTAAGTTTAACAGGACCATGTTTTCATCCAAGGTGCTCATTTATAACACATTGTTTAACCTGCAGCTGAAGGTTTGAAAAATCAGCTCTAGTAATGTAGTTCTGTCAATTTACTCAAATGAACTTTGAACAGTACCAAGGAAACAACATGTGAAACAAGCCAAAGACCAGCATAGTTAGAAAATCTCAAAAAATGTTTTTGCTTGTTTTGTTTTATTTGTTTGTTGGTAAAGTTTGTTAGTGTTGATTCACTGAAAACCCTGAGACATGTATGTTGCGCGTGCGTGCATGTGTATGTGCATGCACATGTGTGTGTGTGTGTGTGTGTACATATTGGTCCAAATCCAAAGTTAGGGTAAATTTCATTTAAATTCCCCTAGGGCCATTCATTCAGGCTTTTCTGGTGCAGCTGGGTTGATGACTTAAATACAATTTAAATGTATGTCAGGCTAGCTAGAATAGGAGAAAGTTGTGAGACATTCTTACCTGACATTATTAATTGCAGTTATTGTTTGGACATGCAATATTCCTCTATTTTTCAGTCCTTAAAAAAGCAGATAAAAGTATGGAAATTATGAAGATGGTGAGACTGTTGCACTATTTAAGGTTTCAGGTTTCCATTTAGAATGTGATGTCATAAGCTTTTTCGGGTAGTTTATCTTAAAAGGAAGATAAAAGTACTTTATAAATAGCTCTGTTCATGGACTAAGTCTTAAATAAAATATGAGTGAAGTTTTATTGTATCCTCTGCCATCTATCTTCCCATCTAAACCAACCAGGTTTTATCTGTAGAGGATTGTCTGGGATTTAGAAAACTAGCCTGTTTAATCTCTGACAGATAGGAGGACATCAATCTTTTTGATGGCCAACTACATGCAAGAAATGAACCAACAGCAGTGGATTTGCTGGCTGCACATGCAGTACAGAATTTGATACAGAGATGAAAGGAAACAAAACTCAACATTAGTGTTGCCATAATTCACAATGGTAAAATTAAAAATCAGTCTTAAATCATTTAAAGGAACAGCCCTCTTCTTACTCACTTCTGTTTTATTGCCATGCAGTAGCATAACTAACAGGGAGCTGGTAGGGCAGAAAAATAGCTATAGCCACAGCAGCAACTGATCACGTTGCACACAGCAGCTGGTTCTGCCCCATGCACTATGGTTGCCCCAGGCACAGAGCTGTCCTTCTATGCCTCTGTTGCCACATAACTTAGTGACTTCATGAGAGCTTACTTCTGATTAATACCGATAAAAAGGCCTGATCCAAAGCCTATTGAAATGTGTAGAAGGACATCCCACAGACCTCTGTCTGGCCACTGAATCAGATACAGAAATGGCAGGAGAAGAAAGCACATTATTGAGCTTCTGAAGTCAGTGCTGTTACATAATAGGACTTGTTTTTGCTTTTGTTTTGTCCCTCGGGAGATAACTGCTTCTTTTTCTCCACTTACAGTTAATCACATGAAGGTCACACCCATGGATATAGCTACCGCCTCTTTACTGAATGTCTTTAACGGGAATGAGTGTGGAGCACAGGGATCATGGCAAGTTGGAGTCCAACAGGATGTTACTCACACAAATGGCTGTGTTGCCTTGGGGATCCGTCTACCTCACACAGAGTATGAAATCTTCAAAATGGAGCAGGATGCCAGGGGTCGATACTTATTATATAATGGCCAGAGACCTAGCGATGGATCTAGTCCAGACAGACCAGAAAAGAGAGCTACTTCTTATCAGATGCCATTAATTCAGTGTGCTTCATCGGTGCCAAGATCTGAAGAGTCACCAGAGAAGAATAAAGTAGGCCAGTACAGCAGTGGGACAACTGAAAAGGATACCAGTGTATTCGTCCTTACACTGACGCTGTTTATTTATACTGTGTCACATTGGAACATTCTTAGCTAGAAGCAAAAAAATTATTTTTCATGACTACAAAGCCAAGATTCCTTATGACTGAGGGTTTTTCTTTTTAGAAAGAAGAGGACATTTATTTTCTTGATGCACTTGAATGCCTGAGAACTGTTGTTCTTTTCCTTGTTTTTTCCCCCTCCTTGAATCATGAACAGCACTTGTTTGATGTTTCTACTTTGAACTTCATCCAGTTTGATCCCTGACATGACTGCACACAAGTAATTGCACTTTAGGACTGCAGACTTTGGTGGGGGTTTTCTTTTCTTTATTTTTTTCTTTCTTTCTTTAACTGCTGGGGTGAACTCTACAATCCTACTTCAGTTGTCTGCAGTTTTGCTGTTGTAGTTCTTCCCCTTCTCCCAACACTCAGTGTCTCATCAGGAATCACTCTGTACAGTGTTAATGTTGTGATAATGGCTTCCTGCTTTAGGAGTCTGATGTAGATATGTATATAGGAGAGGGAAAAAAAACCTCACAAGGATTTATCTAAACATAATCTTACAGGTTATAAACAAGAAAAATATAAACTGTTCTCCATTCCAAAGTGCCAAATCAAAAATCCCCCTAATTAAAAACACTTAAGATAATTAACACTATATTTACATTGATTTTTAACTTGTAAAAACAACCAAAGTTTTAGTATTTTCTCACACAACTACAATAGATTTATAATAATTTATATGCCTTCCTTTGTATCTACAAAGTAGTTACAGTCAACCCTTGTTAAAAGCCAGATTGAGGAAATATTTGTTCAGTCAGACAGATATAGCTTATAAATTGCCAGTACATTAATGCTAAGATGATCTGCTGTGTGCTCATACTCAGTAGACCTCATATCCTCTCTATGCATTGTTTTGACCTTGAATTGTTGTTAGGTGTGGACAAAATATGGAAAGGCACTGGGAGCATAATGCTTCCTAGAAACCTTGTTTAGAAGAAGGAATCTTTAAGAATTTTTAAGTGGTGGTAGGTAGGAAGTAAAGAAAGGATTTTAGCAGGAAATACCCAGTGGGCCAAATGATGCCCATGTCCTCTCAGCTTAGACAGCACAGAAACAGCTGACAATTGGAAGAGACATACTACGTTACATGAGTGGGGCTGCACAAAGGTGGCAGCTCCTCCCCACCCATCCCCACGTCCTTACACATCAGGAGCTCACTGAGTCTGGGAAAACATGGCTGGAAAGAGAAGACAGGCACAATGAGGAGTACCCCTCTAGAGTGCCATTTCACTTGGAATATGGCATGAAACAGTGCTAGGTGTATTCTTAGGTACACCCTGCTTTACATCATCTAACCTCTAATGGAGGCTTTAAAGATAAGACACAGGTGAGCAAGCAGAGGAGCTCCTAGGTTAGCCATGCTACCATGTAGTATCAACTCCTAGGAATAACACAGTACTATTGTACTCCAAACATTAGGAAGAACAAACTCCTTGACTGCAGAGCAGTCCACAAATCCACAACCAACGCTCAACTGACTTGCCTGGAACTTCTATGTGAAAGAAGCAAGTTGGACTCATGATAATGCCCCATAGCATTTGTAATATCCCTTTTACCAATATAAGATGTAATTCCTGGGAACAAGAGCTGAGTAAAAGGAGAAAGGAGTCACCAGGCTTGGGCCATATCATGACTCTCTCAGTGTCAAGGCAGAAGCGCCTGATGAAATTGTGGATTTCTACTAAAAATAAGTTGTACAATATGATACCTGGAAGTGCTCTGACTTTTTAAATTATTACAACAAATATTAGATTAAGGGTAATGAGACTGTAAGGTCTCCATACTACATGGTATACAAGGTAAGACTCCATACTACATGGTATACTAAACTTTCCATAGGGCACTGTTTTAAACTATCAGAAGCAATGCAAGTGCTATTCCAACTGCAACACACTTACACTCAGATGAACTCCATTTTCATATGCGTCATAAACCTTTGCCTCTTTTTAGCCTGAGCTTTCCAGGCTAGTCTTAGTCTTTAAGATGAACTTTCTGATGAAGTGCAAACAAAATTCATGTCCCTGGTTTGAGTTATGTATGGGTGAAAAAAATATGGATTTTCCTCCCTATAAAGTTAGCTTGCCCTTTTTTCCACAGATGGAACGAAAAATCATGGAAAACCCATTAGTATAAGCTCAGCAATCTGAGGGACTGGATCATCAGCTTGTAGTCATCCAGTGCCAGACCCTCCCGGTGTGATGGCAAGAGTTGGTTTCCACTTCATCATCTCACAGCAAAACCATGGGAATAGTTTCTGGCCTTGTCAGCATTCACTCAAATGGGTTTCCCTCCCCACATTCAAATGCACTTGGAGAGAGTATGCCAGGTCAGCTGTTGATAGGGAAATATTGGAAGCATAGTTTCAGATGAGGTCTCAGGACTGAGTCATGCTGCTAGTCTTCTTCTTCTTTTGTATGACTGACTTGGAACAACAATTATAAGTTCAGTTTAAGGTTAGTTAACCAGTCTAATGATCTTAAGAAAAGAATGCATCTCTGCAATGTCACCCTCAAATTTGTATAGAGGGCAGTGTTGTTATGTGGTCCATAGTTTGACCAGGATTGCCAGAGTCACATTTTGCAGACCTCCAGATGCACCATTTGTGCATCAAGTGACTGCAGCAGGCGTGCCCAGTTCGGATCCAATTTAGAGCCTTCCATGTTTTTCACAGAAGGCCAAAACCAGGAGGCTTTATTGTTGGGTTGGAAAGTGGATGTTTATTCTGAACGGTGGTTTCATTCCATGCTTTCCTCCAAGCTGCTGCACTGTCATGCCCTGAGGGCTTGTAGACGTGTCCACAAAGGTTTCCAGGAGACCAAGCAGTGAGCTAGGAGGTTTTTTAAATCTCTATGGTTGGGGAGGTCTGGGTTGTCGTTCATGCAGACGACCTGCCTGTATGTAGCTTCGTTGTGGCAAATGCTGCCAATGGGAGCAGAACACAGAGTACCACAGAAGAGTCACATGTCCTCAAAAGTCAGGACTGAACCTGTCAAACAAGATTCTTTGGGTAAATGTGATATCTTTTATTAGACCAACTAAATAGTTGGAAAAATTATTCCTTACCAGCTTTCAGGCACAAACACCCTTCTTCAGGTATAGAGAGCCTGCTGGTGTTTGTATGCTCTCCTTGGTGGTATAGAAGCTTAAGCCAATACGCAAAATGCAGGTCTGTGAAAATGCAAATGTATGGCAGTGAAGGACCGAACCTGTTCACACTCTCACCAGTTTTCCAAGTTGTAGATTAGCATAACTTTTTAAATTGGAATTACTCCCAATTTATTCCAGGAAGAGATTAGAATCAGTTCTCTTACCATTTCATTACTTCAATTTAAAACGCTAAACTCTGGGATTGCACTAGTTTTTTAATATATGCCTAGATTTTTATTGTATTATTATTTAGAATTCCTAAGACAAGATTCTTTCCTCATCCCTAACAAGAACAGTTATAAATTGCTGTGGTTTCAGAGAGCCAGCTCCAGCATGATGCATGTATAACCTTTCAGTGTAATGAAGGATTGTGGCCTGTATCAAAATACTGTTCCAATGTGATGTTCAGTGGAAAATTTAAAGAAGCACTGATCTACAGTTCACTATCACATGCAAAATCTCTCGGTTCTTGAACACTTACCAGTCTCACTTTAAACTAGTTGGGCATCAAAATTATTTTGAAAACATGGAAGGTCAAGAAAGAAAACATTCAATCCTTTCCAAATGATAATCTAACACATTCAATGCCCAGTTGTAGTGATAATGTTGGTGTCCTGGGGCAACATTGCTCGTAAGGGGCTGCTACCCTTATAGGATACACGGTAGTTAAAACGTTCCTAGGGAAATGCAGCAGTTGGTCTTACCAGATGTTTCTACAAAAAAGGTATTGATGGTATGTATTAAGGGTCAGGTTCTGTACCATCTTTTAGGCCTCTACATGAATTAGGCACTAAATTATATTCCACCCTGTTCAATTCCCTGAAAATCCATAGTGTATTTTGTAGCACACCCTCATCTTACCCTTCATAATTCTGAGTCTCAGAAAACAGGGAGGAGGAAGAGGAGGACCCAGGCACTTTTTGCATTCAGTGGTTTTCAGGGATGTGAGCAGGATGGGAGGCAACTAAGTCCATTTACACAGCTAATAGCTGGAATAGAATCTAGCCCCAAAGTGATTAACTACAGGCTCTAGCCTGCTTTGAACTGCCCTTGCATGAGGATTTGGCTTTGCCTACATCTTTCTCAATTCTATTAATGGCAGATGTCACAAAGTATATGAATTGTGTCCAGAATTTTTTTCTTTACCATCTTAGAGATGGTTTAAAAGAAATAACTGGAGGAACAGTTTCATATAACATCAATATTGAAATTCAATTTCAGGCTCTTCCAATTCATTTGTAATGTGTCAACATAACTTTATGAGTACGGTTTCTTTGTCCATTCCATACCAGCCTTTTCAAATGTAAGAGAGAGATGCTTACCTGTGCCATCCATATCAGATGTTTTTCTAATACTTATCTATTTGTTTGTCTGTAATACTTCATGGCTAACATATGAACAAGTCTTCAAAATAACAATTAAAATATGCAGCCTATGTCTCAATAAGCTGTACACTCATCTGTCAGTTAGACAAAATACATAGCTGAAGAGTTGTACTAGTTATTGATCCTCTCATTTCAACTAACCTCATTGAAGCTGTATAGCTGCATGTACCCTATAGTGCTATATAAAATTGTTCCAATCTGTTTTTTCATTTGTATATAGCCTGCCTGCCTGCTTTAAGTGCTAAGACCTCAACCTGTAACTGATTTAGCAGTGGAAGACCTGTAAACAACTTAATGTGTATCGTGTGGGTTCAGATGTCTTTAAGATGCAACAGGGATAAAGCAATTTTCTTTCACAACTGTCAGCATGGCCTGGGACTTCTGTAGCAGCATTGTTGCATTCTGGCCCTGAAGTCATTGTATGAAAAAGAAATGGGATATGCTACAAAGAAGCTATTGTGCAAGTCATTTTTACCTATTAAGTTTTAAACAAATAACTTCTCTCAAAGTGCAAAAGGGTACAGAAGGCAGGAAGGCAGTCAGAACAAAGCCAATGGCCTATGTTACCGTTTACAAATTGTGCCTGCTCCCCTGGGATAGAACACTCTTTTTATGAAAGAAAAGTTCATATCTGAGATCTCAAGTCTGCCTTGCTGTGTTGGAGTGTATTTACTTACAGCCCAGGATTTTTTTAAAATCTTTTTATTTTTGTAAAGTTATAGAAGATATTTTTCTTCCCAACTACACATTCCAGATAAAACTGCCAGGGAAGTCTGAGCACTTGTTAAAATATTGATTGAAATAAAAGACTAAATGAAGAACTAAGAGTTCCTCAACATTTTATCTGTAATGGCTGTGTTTCGTCTCCTTTCCACCAGTGTAAAATAAAAATAAACTGTCTCTTGGACAGCTAGGCCCCATCACTCTGTCTAAGCTTCCATGCAGAGAAGCAGATTTCTAGAAAGAATTTTTGCAGCATGTTACCACAACTAGCATTCAGAAGAAATTGCTCTGCTAAATTCATTTGTGCTTGAAACAGAAAATCTTCAGTATTGCTTAATTAAATAATAAAAAAGCCTGAAATATATGCTGGAAGTACACAGCAAGAAATGATAATGTTGGCCTGAGAACACAATCATGCAGTCAGAACAGCTGTGTCAGTACAAAGGGTGTGGTTTCACTTGAAACAAAATATTTTCATAAATGAGCTATAATCGAACAAAACAGGATTACTGTCTCACTTGCTCCAAGGGCTATAACTTGAAAAAGAAAGAGAGGAATGCTTTTCTTGAGCAGAAGATTTTAAAAAATACCTGATAATTGGAAGTGTCAGGGGAAAACCTACTTAAAGAATAGTTCTGAACATTTTAAATCATACCAGAATGCAGATAGAGAATAGGGGTGAAATCCCAGCTCTGCTGAAGTCATTGCAGTTTTCGTATTGAATTTAGCTACATCAGGATTTCACCACAAGTTTTCAAAAATTATTGGTGATTTTGCAAGCCAGTTTGAGATGCCTTAAAAGGGGCTTGGCTTTTAAGAAACTGCTAAGTATTCATTTTCTGAAAATGAAGCCTGTTTAAAAGCATCTCAGACTGGGCACCAAAATATTGAGGTATCCAAAATGACAAATCTAAAAAGCTGCAATCTGAAAAGATAGAGGGAACCTCTAAAGAGGTTTCACTGTAGCCTCCTTTTCAGCCACAGTTTTGTGGGTACAGATGAATTCAAGCAGAAAATTTAACCATCTAAACCAGGGGTGTCCAACCTTTTTGGAATGTGGGGCCAGATCATGAACTTCTTATCACCCAGTGGGCTGGCGAGCCATATTCAAAGACCTCACAGGAAAAGGTATCACATCAAACCGCTCCCCCCCCCGCCCCCCCCCCTAACCCCCCCCCCCCCCCGCCCCCCCCGAAACAAAAGGACAGTGTTTACTTTCATTTCCCATCACAGCACCTCAGGCCTCAGAAAGCAGCTTGGATGGCCATGTGCCGGCCCGCAGGCCATATGTTGGACAAGCCTGGTCTAAACTATACCTATACCCCTGTCTAAAGTACACAATTTCCACCCATTGGCACAACCAGGAAGGACCATGCTGAATATTCATGTATGCCATGCTTTTCTTTCCATAATTCTCTCCAAAAATTATCAACATTTGTACTTAGATATTTTTCTTTTTTCCTCCCCTCCTTTCAGTAGATACACAATATTGGACTTTTTGCAAATCAAGTAACCAAGGTAACAGGACATTATTGGCACAGGCAATTATTCAGGCAAATTCATTCCAGTGCCAAAAAGTTCTGCAAAAGCACTCTAGTAACAGTGCAGTCAGTCTCCTGGGACCACAATTAAGTCATCCCAAACTTCCAGCGAAAGACATGATCAGTGACTTCTACCTGAAACCGTGCAGATGTCACTTACATAATATCCATTTGTATTCTTGTCAGCAGCAGTTTCTCCTGCGTGATTTGACAGAAATTCCACTTGAAAAAGAGAGAGAACTGTACACGAAAATATTTTATTCATCAAAGAAATAAAAGGATAACTTGATGGGCTTGCTATGTTTACACTTTGAGTTGCCCGATTCCATAGGCAACCTCCATGGAATTCAGTAGATTTATTCTCCTATATGAAAAGCTAAGCATCAGTCCCCGTCTATTAGGGCACTAGACAAATACCTTCATCAGAAAGATGGATACATACAATATCTGTCCATGTTTTATTGACTTCCCAAGTCCCTAGTATATTCTCAGTGTATAAACTGTTTTCTCTCTCAGCATTAATATCCTGGAGACTCTAGAACATAAATAAATAAATAAAACTATGAAGTTGCATTGGCTGCACTTTATTAACTGGTCTAGAAGAGCTATTTTGGATTCGATCAGAGCACCCTGTAAAAGAAAACCTGCTTTTAAACCACTAAATCATGACCCTACATAAATTCTAAACATGTTTCTTCAAAATAAGACACATGTATGTTACTTTTAAATTATCTTATGCAATTCCTCAGTGATTCTTGAGATATTTGTGTACCTGTATCTTTAAAATGATCATGTCAGTCAGTTAGAACTCACTGGAGGTAATTTAAGCTTTAACAAAAAAAATACTGGTTAGGTATAAGAAACTATTGCCATCTAGTGGTGACATCTTGCCTTACATTTATTCTCCAGCAAATTCTTGAATTCATGCCACTCAGAGACCACTAGACCTATGAGGAAAGCATATTACCAGTGTTCCTGATGTAAAAGAACATTATTGAAACATCCCCTCCTTACATCTAAGCAGTACCTCATCCACCTCTGAAAGATTCATGTGCAATTAAAAAAAATAAGTCATGTTCACACGTTTGTATTATACAGGCACATGGAAATATTTACAAGGGGAAAGACAGTCCTTCCCTTGAAGAGCTTGCAAATGAAATAGGAATGGGAGAAATAAAGAGAATAAATAGCAGTAATAAGGGTAGCAGTAGAAATAATAATAGCCATATATACAATACAAATGTTTAAAAAGAAGATTATTAACATTGCAAAGTCAAGCACTGAAAAGCTAGGCAGCTTGCACAACCTTAATGCAGCCAGCTCCCTTATGTGTACTTGAGGGTGCAGTCTTTAACTGCACAAGCCCATATTTTTCCCCATAATGAATGAGGCAGGAGACTGCAATATCAGAAAAGATGGTCATGTGGTTAAGGAAGTTGAATGCTGCCCATCAGAGACTTTCTGTGTGTTTATTGGCAAGTCACTTAAAGTAAACCTTCAAGCTTATATAAAATAATTAAAAGGAATTCCTTCTCTGTTCCAAGGAAGTATTAAAGAAAAGAAACAGGATCGTTTACATAGGTCCTATGCTTCCAAACTTTTCCCATGGGCTTTTTATTACTGTTAAAAGGAAAACAGTTTTATCTTGTCAAATTCTGCACTGATACAATACAGAGCATTTTGCTTAAAAGGCACAATGCTCAAAAGAGTTGAATATAAAATCTCCGCTTGACGAATGAATGGTATTTTTACTCATGGAATGCTGAAGCCGTATGTTATACAAGTTTTGCCTAAGGAGTACAAGTTGATACTTCAAATCACCCGGCCACTGCCACTATCTGTACACGTCATTATGTGTATTCTGGGTGTTACAGAAAAATCTTTTTTTTAAATTAAACTATTGTGGATCATGCTGTCTATAAAACTAGAGGCTATGAATTCAAATCTGTAGACCTCGGATAATTCTATGTATTGTATTATTAGCTTTTCTATGCTTTAAAGTGACTAAGGTCTAATATCTCAGTAATTTACATTACTAGGACCAAATGCTGTGTTCCACACTGCAAGGCTGGGACTCTACCTTTTTCAGTGCTGTAGATTTCTTGTTTCTATCCTCATTATGTCACAAGACATTGAACCTAAAACCTGTCCAGAACTGGATTGGATCTGGGGGGAGAGGATACCATATACTGGGAAGTGATGAAGGAAGGGAAGAGGGGAAATGTTCTTACTGGGTGCATGTGAAGGAATTAGTTCTCTAGCAGGCTGCTCCAAAAATTAGTCACTTTTTTGATGTTGCTCAGAAGTTTGAAATCTTGGAAGCAATTCTGGATAGAGGACAGCTGAAGCTGTGAGATTTGTATAATGAAATGCAAAAATCATATCATAATAGACACTCCCTGGCCTACAACATCCCTTAGATATCACAGCAACATGTGTGACTATATGCACAAATATATGTACACCCACATTATAGGATATAGCTATATAGATATAAAATCACTACTGTACAGAACAGCTGGCCTCTAAGTTCAGGCACTGATCTAGGACCCCTTCCTGGCTTCTACTTCTTTTGTGACCTAGGAGAATCCCTGAGCCTTTGCTTCTTTGGCACCAGGCCAGTGTTGCTTCTTCCACCTCATCAGCCTGAGGAGAGTATAAACTTGCTAATATTTGTAAAGTACTTTGATAGCACAAGGTGGAGTGGGATAGGATGCAGCCGAAGGCACATAAAGACTCTTCCAACAGTGATATGCATGGGTGGATCCAGGATCTTGTAAAGGGAGATGCAGAACATATGGTACAGCATCATCATATATAACATGACACATTTTTCTCCAGTTAAAGAGAAACTAGAAGTGTTACTGATAGGCTAGGGGGGGCTAGCACCATATTATTCAGTTTAAGATCAGAGCAAACATAAATGTAACTATTGAAATGTGTACCAATCTGCTAGGTTATATATACCATTAAAATAAAAAACAACAAATGAGGCAAAAAAAGTCAAAAGTAAAAAAAAAGTGTCATTAGTCCTGTAATTATAATGTCTCATTCAGATTCACAGAACAAAATCTTGTGTTCTTGAGTGTCTTGACAGTGCCTCCAGTACTTCACCGTAATTTCTGAGTTAATATTACCACACTTGAGATAAGGTTTCTAACTAAAGCTAACAGTCTGCAGGGCTAGGAAATAAAAAAAAAAAAGAAAAAGAGAGACCTTGGAATGGCTAACAGAAAAATTGCAGAAGAAAGGACAGTTTGAAGAGTGGACAAGACTATTAAATGAATAGAAGATCATTATTACCTACCGAACTGAGATTAGCAGGAATCCAGATGATACTGAGCAATGAAGTTGTGATTCCCTCACTGCTGCCTGAATAGAAATGCCACTGCCCCTCACAGGCACCTGGTTTTAAAGTTTGGGTGGAGCAGGAATCAAAGGGGAGGCGTGCAACTACACCACTGTACGTTCCCTGGATCCATCCCCAGTGATAGGTCTCTGGGAGTTGCAGCACTTTGTAGCAATAGATGGCTTTGACTTAGCTGCATAATAGATGTCATGCTCCAGTCCAAGAGAGAACACTTGAGAGCGCAAGCTTTAATTTTAAATAATTGAGACATTTTTTAAAACATGCTGCCTCCTCTTTTCA